AGAGAGAGAGAGAGAGAGAGAGTTGTTCCAACCTTTTTCAGATTGGTGGGACGATCTATTAATTTCACTGTATATATTACAGCCTTAGGGCATGAGATTGCATTAATACCTTGACAAATACAATGCATTACATCTACATGCACTTACAGTTATAAAATTATTCTCTTGCACTCTCCTACACATCACTTCCTAACAGTGAACGTGGTAAATATTTAATGCGAGTTGACTTAGATGAGTCCCTAGTAGTCTCATCCTTTTGGTAAAAAATTGTGATTCTAAGTAGTGAAGGAGTAGGAAACCAAACAAAGATTTCACATTGAGTTTGAGTGAAGCCAGTGTTATAAAATTGTCAGGCATGTGATTCTGGGTGACAATACCCTAAGATCACATGAGGCTTGGGTTTTTTGTAGTTTCTACACTTCATATATGTAAGATTGCCTGGTTCTACTTGACCTCGCGTTAATCAGACCTGGGTTCATGGTTTCGAGCCCTTGGTGAGTCAGCGTGCGAGTCTGACTTTTTAGACACTTATTGAGGCCATTGATCATGTATTATGGAGTTGTTGGGGCCTGTAGACATGTGATCCATTTTATTTGTTTGTAGAGGTGCTATGGTGCATGTGATGCACAAAGGTAGGAGGTATCCCGTTTATTGGCCAAATGAAGAAACATATACTTATGGTATGATCGCATAGATTGGGATTATAGCATCTCTAGAGCCAACTTAAGATACTACATACAACTTATAGTATTCTCTCGCTCACACTCTCGCTCTCTAAAATTAATGGTATACTGATAAGGTACTTGTGACTTACAGCATCTTAAGTTTTACTCTTAAGTTTTACTTTAAGTTGTAACTTAGTGAGATAAGAAACTACAAATAATATGCAAAGTGGATCTAAAGAAACCCTATGCTCACATAGATTGGGTCTTTCGATATCGGGCAATGACTTGATGGTTTTGGTTCGAGGTAGAGGAGTTAAATCTATGGGTGTCTATCCTCAACACAATTTTGAGTCTTAGCATATGGAAGCCCAAAGGGGCTGCTTTCAAGCTCCAACGGTAGCATACAAGGTAATCCTGTATCCCCCTTTTGTTCCCTATTGTTGGCAATGCATTTAATGTTAGCAGAAGCCTATGATGCTCATTTAATGACTGGATTTAAAGCAACCCAAGGAGGAATAACTATTCACATCTGCAGTATGCAGATGACACCTTCTAATTCTGTGATTCAGAGACTAAACAGCCAAATAGTTTGTGGTTGTTTTAAGATGTTTTAAGGCCATTTCTAGACTTCAGGTCGTTATTAACAACACCAAACTAATTGGCAATTTTATAAATGTTGCTGCTATGAGAATTTGTGAGATGCATTGGACGAGGAAGAGTGATAATCCCCAATAAATATGTTGGTTTACCTTTTTTCCCCGTCAAGCCCTAAAAGCCATTTGGGATGGAATTATTGAGAGATTTGACAGAAAGTTAGATTTATGGGAGGTCAAATACTTGTCCGTGGGCGAAAGGGTAACATTGATATGGTCATAGGATAGAACTGATAAAGTTCACTTTATCTAATTTGCCAGTATATGCTATGTTCCTTTCCTCCATTCCAAATCGCTTTGCTAACCATTTACATCGACTTAAATTTGTGATAAATTCTATATGGAATGGCTCATTTGGAAACCAAAGAATACATTTAGTGAGCTGGAAGAGGGTTTGCAAGTCAAGAAAAGGAAATTTACTTTTTTTTTTTTGCTTTTCTTTTTTTTAAAAAAATTATAACAGATGATACTGGGCCATGGTCTGAGTTGTAATCTTGATTTGTTTTTCTGTGTTTTATGCGTTGATTCTCATAAAAAGAAGACCCTTCTCTGGGTAGGTAGGAAAGAATTGCTGATCATTCATTCTTTTTGTTTCTTTGAAAAGCATTTGTATAATGATTCCATAAGTATATTTTGATATGTCCTAAAAGAGATCCCAAAGTTTGACACCATTAATGGATATTGCTTACTTTCAGGTGAAGAATTTCAGAGCAGATGAACTCATGGACTTTTACAAGGTAAGTATGGTATAAGATTTACTATGTTGATTAAACAGGGCATTCTTGCACTTTTGTCCTGTGCATTGAATCTGTAATTGGTGCCGGCAAAGTTTATCTTTGTCTCTTGTTTATTATTATTGTTGTTAGTCTTGTTGTTGTCGTATTTCCTTCTTTTAGGTTAAGTGTATATTAAAGTAGCTGAATGTGAATGAACCTTGTACATTTGAGTCCAAGGTTTGATGCTTAACCATGTGATCTTGAGCCTCATGCAAATTTTTGGGAAGTAGCTAAATTAGTTTCGGGTTAGTTCCATGGTTGTCTTAAAAGCATTAGGTGATTGCTTACTCATGGTCTTTTTTTACCGTCTCCTTTGAGTTTTATAGTTTCCTGGTCTCTAATGTACTGTTTTTTATATTTCTTGGCAGTCGGATATGAAACTGAAGAAGTTTCTACATATAATTGAGAGTTCCCCTGTATATCCTATCATATATGATGCGAACAGGTATGTTGTGTTTCCTAAGGTATTGATAAAACCTTATTTGCTTGTCCATAGTTTAAGATATTTATTGATCATTTTTTATTATCTACTTCAAAAAGGAGAGTGCGTGAGCTACAATGAGCACATAGATTGTGAGTGTAGAGAGCTAAAATCTCTCGATGGGAATCCTTAATTGAAGTCCGTCCCAAATCATAGGCTCTTCCAGCCTTCCCCACACTAGTGTCTAGTTTGGTAACTATTCCTTCCTTGAATGGCCTCTCTCCCACCGAAACCTCTTAGAATTGCAATCTCCCATCAGCAATTACTCTACATCTTTAGTTGACATGTTAACGGGTAGGAATGGAACCCTTGACATCATGGCTCCGCCACCATGCCCACCTAAGCCAAGGGGCCAATTCCTTACTCTATCCCATCCCTGTGCCCTAACCTAACCTCCCAAATCTGTATGACTTCTACTGTCAATTTCTCCATCCTTAACCTTCTAAAACACTTGATAGCCTTAACCGTTCCAACAAAATTGATGTGTATAAGCCCGAACCCTCTTCCTCGTCTGGGACACAAAAGCTTCCCCCCATAATCTAGTTAGTCAGTTCAACTTAGGTATTTTTCAAAATCCCAAGTGTCTAAAACCTCATTTTCTCAAATCGTCAGTCTAAACATCCCCAAAATTCTCTTAATCCTGATCTCCTCCCCGCAATCTCATGATCCCTTAACCACATAACCTTTTTGCCCACCCCACACCAAACCAACGCCTAAAGAGCGCTATTAGGAGTTTGTCAATCACCCTTTTAAGACAAGATTAGAGAGGAAAGGAGTTCTCTACTTAAAGTGTCACTACTGCATGAGTTTGAGCTGAATGGAAATCTTCCATGGTGAGTTGCAGAATTAGCGAAGGGGGAAAATGGCTAATTTTTTGTTTTTTGATGAAGGGGAAATGGCTATTCTCATTCTCATCTCAACCTCAGGCTTAGCAAGCTCTCATGAATACCAAGCTGGATATCAAGGGAGCTTCGCTCAAACTAAATCCTTGTTCTATGTCTTTCTAAGCTTTGAAAATTCGTAGGATCTAGGTTATGGTCAATGGAATTCCAATGCGCACATGCCATTAAGAGGTTTTAAAAGAGATGGATAAATGCATGCAGAGGTTGTGTTTCAATGGATTGGAAGTCATTTGGATCTCTAAAACTGGGAGTGGTGCAAAACCATTAGGAGTGCTGCAAATATTGGTCCAAACCATGATTATTGGGATTTCGAACCAAGGGGTTGATTCTGCTTTGGAATCTCTCTATTGTGTCCCATGGAAGGAAATCTTGCTCCTCCAATTAAACTTGGAATCTTGATCCTTCCCTTACAAGTGACGCAGAATCCCTAGCATTGCGTTATAGTATATCAATATACTATAGTATAGTAGCATAGTATTGTAGTATAGTATAGTAGTAGGATCTAGCAGTGTGGTAAAGTATGGTAGTATACAATATAATATATAAGCATAGCATTGTAGTATAATATTGCAATTTAATATTGTATGGTAGTATTGTATAATATAGTGTATAATATACTGCCATATTAGTTAAGTGCTCTTAGGGGCCTCAATTTTTAAATAGATGGAGTTTGGTCCTATATAGTTTTATCATTCAATCCCTATTAAGTTTTGATTGAAGTTTTCATTGAGCTCCCCGAATATTTGGGATCGAGATCCTTAAATTTCAAGTTCTATGGACCACGATCCCTTATACAGGGAGTTCTTGGTAGTCATGATCTTGATCAGATCCTGGTAACTATAGTTCAAACCATTGATCCACATGCCATTCCGAGTACTATCCCACCTTGATTTGTATTGCTCTAACTTCAGACATCCCACACCATGGTCAGTACTATAGTGGTCACTCGAAGTCTCCAACCATCTTAGTCTTCTTCCTAGCCCTAGCTATCCTTGACAAATGCATAAATAGCCCAAGTTCTCCCCTCAAGACTCTGAAGCTGATCTTAACCATAGAGTGGATCATGATTGATGGTAGTCGGTTAGAAGCAGTATTGAAACCCTAACAAACAGAGAAATTCTAAGCTCGTACCATTTATATGGCAACAAGTTGGGGCCCAATAAGAAATGAGCTAATGAGAGAAAGCAACTTGAATCTCGGAGTCCATGTTTGCTGCAAAATGTCTACTTGGTGCAATACTTAAATTCAAATGATGGTGACCTTTTGAATGCAGAATTTACAGACCTGAGTGTTGATACATTTGTCATCTCACTCAGAGCGAGCTCCCTTCATCTCAACCATCCTTCTTGAGGCATTGGGCAATCCCAATCTATTGTCCTAACCCTACTCCACGTAAATCACATTTGCCCAATCGCATCCAAAGCCTTAGCCGCTCCAATCCCCAATATTTATTCAACCATCTCAAAATCCAACATTTAGGAAAGACTTTATTCTTGGGACATCACAGGTGCCTTATCATCCTGCCAGATGGTGTGCCCTGCTCCTAGAACTTATCCTCGAATGCTGATTGGAGACACCGACCTTGCTTCCAGCAGTGCCATTTTCTCTCCTGCATCGTCATGGGAGTGAGTGACCATGTTCTTTAAAGCCCATGGTACGGAGACCCCCCATCTTGGAAGGCGACAACTCACCTATAAGAAAATCCCTACAAGAAAGCGTCATGGGAGTGGGTGACCATAATCTTCGAAGCCCATGGTACAGAGACCCCCCAGCTTGGAAGGCGACAACTCACCTATAAGAAATCCCTTAGTGATTCAAAAAGCGGAATCAGGCCTAGGCGGTCCGAAAGGCCTGGGCGCATCCCCCAAGCCTAGGTGGCCAATCTAGGCGGTCAATTCCTGGCCGGCCACCTTGGCGATACGGAACTCGCCTAGCGCCCGACCCTGGGGCGCCGCTCAGGGGCGGAAAAAAAAATTCGTGAGGGCTTCTTACATCATTTTTTTTTTAAACCTAAACCTTGTTTGAGTTAAATTTAGAGAGAGAAAACCACCAAAAAACTAGCTTATGGCGAATTTTTTAATACCTAAGGGTTAGTCAAAGTTAACCAAAATTGATCAAAACATCACCCATTGGTATTATATTTACTTTTTGATGTTTTGCAAAGTTAGTAGGGGTTTTAGAAGATTTGAGTATTTAGAAACATCTTTGAGGTGGAAGTTTGAAGATTGAGCAATCAAACTCAAAGAAAGTAATTTTTTTTATTGCTTTAGTAATTTGCATTATTTTTGAGATGTCTTCTTCGAGATCTAATAGGAGTGGTGATCCCGGTTGGAAATATGGCTATGACCCAGATCCTAATGATGATGAATGAATGTTGATTGTTGAATAATTATTAAAATTTGTTACTTTGAAGTTTGAACTTTGATTGAAGTATTGAACATTTGAACTATTGATGATTCTTTTGAGTCTTCAATTATTACTTTCATAGTTTTATAATTTGGTTGGTTGGAATAATTTAAGTTTTACTTGGATATGGATTATGGAGTATGAACAGACTTATGGATTATGGTTATGCTTATGGAATGTGTGCTAAATGCTAATATGTAGTATAATTTGAATATAACTGATAGTTTGATACTCAAATAACTGCAGAATCCTTATTTGTATTCAATTGGGCCGTCCAGGTTTTGGGCGCCCGCCTAGGCGCTGGGCGGCCTGGACCCCCCAATCCGCTTAGGACTGCCTAGCGGTTTTGAAACACTGAAATCCCTACAAGAAATTTTGACACTGCCAATTATCTCAGAAGTTGGTGTCAGCCCTCTTCTCTCTATCAACATGTGGCACCAAGCTCCAGCTATTCCCTACAGGGAACCATCATAGCTACCCTCTTGTTCCCCTTGTCTTACCCTGGACAATCTCTTCTATCCCCAAGACAATCCCTCTCGATATCTTACCTGTCCATCACCCTTGATTTAAGAGGCATATTGTTAACACCCACGCATTTACCTTGCGCCCCCCCCTCCCCTGCCCCCTCTTTTTCCCTGTGATGCAGATTAGAGAAGATCTGGTCCATTCCTTTAAAGGTTCTCCTGTGATTATCCCTGATTAATCCATGATACTTTCTTCCCTCCCCCCTCTCTCTCTCTCACTCCCCCTCTTATCAGCCACTTGTGGAGCAAAAAGCTCACATGCTTCCCATCACTTGCCCCTATGAAGCATGGATCCTCCCATCCATTTGCTCCTTGATCAAAATCCAGATCCCTATGGAACCAAAAATATGTGCCCCTGTTCCTTCTTATTCTCTCTTTTCCTTACCCTCTTTCTCTCTCTCTCTAAATCAACTAGTTAATATGCAATTAAGTTGACTGACGAAGCTTTTGAGGCCTATCTAAATGTGGGAATTAGCCCAAATCTTCTCACTCTCAACCCCCTCTTTGTTACTGGAACACTAGGTCTCTAGGAGGATGCGTTGCACATGTCATCAACTGGAGTCCAATCCATTATTCCCTCAACCATCTATCTTCCACGAGTGATTTTAGAAGACTTGAAGGCCCATATGAAGAGCCTCCTCAACCCCATGTTATCCCTTTCGCTCTCCACATGCCTCCCCCCTCTCTCTCTCTCTGTCTTGTACCCCACCCTTCTCTCTCTCTCCCTCTTCTCAATCTCCCTCTTTCATGTCCCCCCCTCCTTTTCTCTCGCATCAGACCATTACCAAAGTTCTATATCTATTCTTTTATATGTCCCGTATTCTAGAATCGATCTCCCTCTCTCACTCAGACCATTACCAAAGTTCTATATTGGTTTCACTATTCTTTTGTATCTCCCATATTCTAAATTCAAGCCTCCATCTTGTGTCTTTCTTTGTCATCCCAGCTTGCTCTGAGTCTTAGTTAATGCTTCCCATTCTCTTTCCATCTCATATCCCCTCTGGCCTCCTTCTCACCTCATTCCTGCGCTCAATTTCTTCGTCTCTTCCTCTTTTAAGTCTCAATCATCTCCCCGCCCCCCCTTGTCCATCTTCATTCCCTCCTTCCTCCTTCCCTTGAATTCGTGCTTCCAAAAGCCTCCTTCTCCCCATCATTGTTGGAGTAGTTCTTCCCAAGCTCACTCCATTGAGACCACAGAGGAAACTCTCCATCTCCTTCCCCCCAGGAGGACAGTCTGATTCCCTACCCTTCAATTCATGCCTCAAGCACAATGGAGTCAGCAAGGTTTTTGATGCCTCTGAGTCTTCTCAGTCTGAGTCAGAATCAGACAAAATGGAGGGCGACATAAATCTTGTGCTAAAGGCAATGGGATTTGAGTATGATGGTCTGGCCTCTAATATTAGCAATGCTAGAGTAATATGGAGAAGGTTACAGAGAGGTCCCTGAAACATCACCTATGACAAGCAGGAATCCTTCCTGTGGGTGGTTTCCACTCAGTGGTCTTCCCTCTTGGGAGACACAAGCAGAAGGCACTCACCTAGGCGCGTGCCGCCCCCGCTTTCCCCCAACCCTTTCCATCATGAGGGTTCTAGCATGGAATGCCAGGGGTCTTGCGACTCCATCAAAAAAGGGCAGCATCTAGCTTCTCATATTCCTACTCACCCAATATTGAAACCAAATTGGAACCTCCCAACCTGGGTTTAGAATGTTGTGCTTGGGGTAGAGGGGGTGCTCTTAGCCCATGGTGCTTCAGTTGGGGTCTTGGTTGTATTTATATTCAATTTTATTCAAAAGGAAGATTTTTACTGTGTCTCTCTATCAATGTTTGTTTTGTCAAAGCTGGCCTTTTTTTTTTCTGTTTTTTTCTTGTCTTTTCTTTTTTTAATGCAATGCATTGGCAGTACTGTCTAGTTCTTTTCTATGTTAGGATCTGGTAGACATTCAACTTTTAACTTTGCAAGTTTATGATAGAGTTGCTGAGATGAAAAATAATACTTGTTTTACTACTTGCTCCTTCAAATCATGGTTGTCACTTGTTCCTAGAATGTGCAAGAAATTTCTTTGACATAATGCTCGCAACAAGCTTCTTACTTAACCTTTTGCGGAATAATTTTGTTGAGGGCTATTTAGCTTGTACTCTTTCTGAAAATGTATCTTTGATCACGTGTTTTATTTAATTTGGCTTTACCCTTGCTTTCTACAGGACGGTGCTGTCCTTACCTCCTATCATTAATGGGGCACATTCTGCTATTAGTTTGAAAACAAAGAATGTCTTCATTGAGTGCACTGCAACTGACCTGACGAAAGCCAAAATTGTTTTAAACACAATGGTAGTCATGATATAGTATGAAATCTGTGCTACTGTTTTTCACATTGAGGAACTTTCTTTAGATGTTGTTTTATGCCTTCTTAGTATGTTATTTTTCTTTTGTTTTGGCAAAGGTAACCATGTTTTCAATGTACTGTGAACGAATATTTGAGGTTGAACCAGTTGAGGTGGTGGGTCCTGATGGAAAATCGAGCATGTGTCCTGATTTGTCAGTGTTTGAAATGAAGGTTCCCCTTTCTTATATCACTAGCTCAATTGGTGTTTCACTGGAAGCAAATGAGGTAATTGCCATGGTTTTTATACTATGTTTCTCTCTCTCTTCTCCCCACACCCGCCCCAGGGTAATGATGGTTCATTAACTGCTTGCAACAATACTTGTGCAGTTCATAGGATAGACTCTTTCGTGGCTTTTCTACCTGACCAATTAATCTGCATCTGAGTTTGTTAGATCTATATCCGTTTTGTCTTAACGTGATTGATATTCGAAAAATTTCTTGGAATGATTGCAATTGGATACAAGTTACCTATCTGTAGTTGTCATGCACTTTAATTTTCTACTTGTTCTGCATTGGTCTAGGCCTGTACTTTCAGATGGAATGATTTTGCAGAGTACGCATGAATACAGGTGGGGCTGGACCATAATAAAAATCTATAATGCAATATATTAATGTTATAGATGCAATTTGTCACCTGTTAAAGTTCCTTATGAGACGGTTACGATGTTAAATAAAATTTAAAAAAAGTGTTAAATGGATGTATGCGTGGAGTGGAATGAACTGAATGGTTGTTTTTTCTCGTAAGTTGGTCACATACAGAAATTTTTTTAACTAATTGTTTCATGATTGAAGATGGTAAGATTTCTGATAATGACGTTTTGCGATGGGTCTTCCAAGGAGCTTCTTGTGAGGTGGGACTTAATGAAATAGGGATGTGTGGGCAATGATATAGGAGTCGAAGGATACATCTTTTTTGGATGGTGAGGAGTGGAGAAGAGGGACGGAGAATGGGTTGTGTTGGTCATCTGGACATTTCTAAGTTCAATAGAAAAGGTAGGAGCAAAGATAGAGGTAGCTAGAGTGAGCATTTTCTTTTCGGTTGGCGACTTAATTTCTTTAATTGTGTGGAACTGTACATGTGTATCTCTTTGACAAACAATCAAAACGAAATCGAGGAAAGGATGGTCAGCTTAAGTCTGGGCTATTGCGACCATTAAAGCAGTTCAGTTCATTCCCTGTCTAGCCAGCAACTCTGCCGCCTCTTCTGACTCCCTTCAAATTCACAAGCTCAAATTGGACTCCTTCCAAGTTCAGGGTGGGTTGGAGCCCTTGGACAAAGCTAGGGAGGTTCTTGGATTCTCTTTTCAGGAGAACAGGGTGCATCTGCATTAGTAGCACCCCTCTCCTGAATCTTTGAGAATATAAAGAACTGGTTCCCAAAGCTGATGAGTCTTTCCTGGTGCTAATTGTTGGCAGAGAAGCAGAAAAGAGAATGCACAAACATGTAGAAGTCATTCATTTTCTTTCATGACAAGGATCGGAAACTTCACTTTCAGCATGCAAAAGGGGCATTTACTGTGGAATATTTGATGAACCTGGCAGTCCACAAGTCATTGTGAAACACAATAATGTTGGAAATTGGTTTTAAGTGCCAAATGCAGAGTCTGTGAACTTTAGTTATTTATTGATAGGGTCCTGTGTGAGGTAGGCAGCATGAAACTTTGCCACATCTTTTTATGAATCCTGAACCTATGGCCTGTGATAGAGAAAAATGGCGGAACCGGATCTGTATAGCCGACGCCAAATAATTGGGATAAGGCTTGAATCATGATGATGATGATGACTGGCATCCTTGAGAAGAGGCTGTGCAGTTGGTGAAGGAACTGGGTGGGAGGAGTGTGGAAGAAGAACCTACGTGCATGCTAATGTGGAAGGGTGGGGCTTTTCTTAGCGAGAGAAATCAGTGGTGACTTTGGGTAATTCTTTTTCATTTCGAATTATACAGGATCTAGTAAAAAACTATGAATGAGAAATTGGAGGGCCTCTCCGAAGTAAAGAAAACTTCTATGCACACCCCCTGAGGGAGCTGAGGGGAGGACTTCTATAGAAAACAGAAAGGGTGCATTATGGATATATGTGACAGATGGTTGAGTTCAAGAATTGATTGGTAACTCGTCTCAGTGGGATATACCATTCCTGGTAACCATCTTTATATTTAAATGATATTGATGAAAAGTGTTTTTCTTATTATAATGTTGACGTTTAATTATAGTAATAAGAGAGAAGTAAAGAGAACTTCTATGCACACCCCCTGAGGGAGTTGAGGGGAAGACTTTTATAGAAAACATAAAGGGTGCATTAAGGATGTATGTGACAAACGGTTGAGTTCAAGAATTGATTGGTAACTCGTCTCTGTGGGATATACCATTCCTGGTAACCATCTTTATATTTCAATGATATTGATGAGTAAGTGTTTTTTTTTTTTGGATACTGTTGACGTGTAATTATAGTAGTAAGAGATTACAGAGTTTGAGAGAGAAGAAGCTAACCACAGAGGAAAGCACTAAGCACAAAACCCTTATGAAAAGGGGGATGAGAGAGAAGAGGCTAACCACAGGCAGAAAGCATAGAGTACAGAACCCTTATGAAAAGGGGGGACGAGAGAGAGTAGAATAAAAAAGCCATCTTTTTAATAGTTACAATGAACGAGACAAAGCAACCAGAAAAAAGATGTTGATCCCCAAAAATTAAGGATGAACTTGTGCTACTCCTGCCTTAGCAGATGTGTCTGCTGCTAGATTTCCTTCCCTCCAAATATGCCTCCACGAGACGCGCATATCCCTGCAAAGATGGTGAATCTCATAAAAAATATGAGCGATGGTCCATGGTGGGGTAGAGAATTTTGACGTCCAAGTGTTTACATTATTGGAATCTCCTTCAATACTAAAGCACTCAGAGTGGAAGGGAAGAAGTAGCTTGATCCTTTCAAGAAGCGCAATTGCCTCCACCTCCATAGAATATGAGTGACCTATAAATTTGCATAAGGATACTATGGTAGAGCCTAGGTGGTTCAATTCCAGTAGGGCTTGGGTTTTCGAGCAAACAACTGTCAAAATTTAGTTTGAAGTTCCCTGGCTCAGGAGGTCCCAAAAAGACAACCGAGATGGACGCTGCCTGGTATGCCATAAGATTGAAGTCCAATCCAGGAAAAAGGATGACAGGGGGATTCCTTTGAAGCTTTTGTGATTGGCTGCCCAAAACACAATGGAGGATTTGAGCTTGGTAATAGTATCGTATCAGGGGGAGAGCTCTCCTTGGAAAATTCTATATTTATGCTCAATCCAAATAGCTCGAATAGTGGCTGCCACCGCTGATTTCCACATTAGAATCCTAGGCTTGGACCAGGGATAAGGTTGCACTGAAGTAAAGATGAGGGCAATGGAGGCAGGTAAAACCCACTCCACATTGAAGAGGTCGAGTAATTTACCCCAAATACTAAAGGCATAAGGGGCAGTGCAAAAATAGGTGCGCGAAGGTTTCCTCGTCCTCCATACAAAGAGCACAACGATTAGGTATAGGAATGCCGTGTCTTCGTAACAGGTCGACAGTGAGAACCCTCTGAGAGAGGGCAATCCACATGAAGATCTTAATCTTTGGAGGGGTAAAAGAGGACCAGGCTAAGGCAGTTACTGATGGGGGTGAGTGGGGGAAATGTTGGCAATTGGGTGAGTTTAAGTTAAAAGGACGAAATAGTGACAAGTCTTGAGGCATTTGAGGTCCAGATAAGCCGATCATCTCCCTGAGGGGCAAGGAAACAGATGTGTAGGGTTGATGAGAGTTCCAAAAATAAAGAGTATCAAGGTCATTGAGGAACTACCTAAAATTTCGATTCCAGAAGCGAGAATGTCCCGTGGTGGTCATCTCATCAGTAACTGTAGCATCAGAATAGCAGGCTAACAAAAAGAGGGTTGGGTAACAATCCCTAAGAGTTTCTTGTCCTAACCAGAGATCAAGCCAAAACCGGACTCGGTTGCCTGTCCTCAAATGTAAATGAATGCAAAACTGGTAAGATGAACAAAAAGATCTCCGAAGCCAGATGATCGATTGCAAATTCTCACCTCGGGGACCCAAGGCATAGAGGGGATGCAATATTCTTGTCTGATGATTTCGATCCACAGGTGGTCCCTTCGGGTGGCAAGACGCCACCACCACTTACCAAGTAAAGCAAGGTTATGTTTTTCAAGATTCTGATACCAAGACCGCCTTATCTTCTGGGAAGGCACAATTTGTCCCGAGAGAGAAGATGGAATTTTTTATTACCCCTTCACCAGACCAGAAGAATCTACTGAGAAGTTGTTTAATCCGAGCGCTCACCGCAGCCGGCACGTGAAAAATGGACATTTGGTAAACATGGATATTTGCCAAAGTAGCTTTAATAAGTGTTAACCTTCCTGCCGGAGATAGGAAGCAGCCCTTCCACCTTGCCAGTTTGTGGTAAACCTATCGATGACATGCGACCATGAGCTTTGCTTGGATTTGCCAATGCAAAGTGGTAAACCAAGATAATCAGAGGGTAGCTTCTCATTCTCTCACCCCCAACTATCCGCAAAGGCTTTAAGAGAAGAAAAGTCTACAGCTACCCCCATCATATTGGATTTCTTGAAATTAACTTTGCATTTTGTGGCAAATTCAAAGCATCTAAGAAATAAAAAGAGGTCATCTAGCTCCTTCGAGTTAGCATTACATAACACCAAAGTATCATCCGCATTTTGTAAATGCAAGACGACGGGACCATGAAGACCACAAGTGAATCCACACAACATATCAGCAGCATACAAACGGGAGATAGATTGACTGAAACCCTCTGCTGAAATAGAAAGAGAAAAGGGGAAAGTGGGTCTCCTTGTCTTAAACCCCCCTAGAAGAGGGGAAAAAACCTTTGGGAGAGCCATTAATAAGAATAGAGAAGTAGGGGTTCGTGTACCAGGCTTTCATCCAGGATCTCCAACGACTCCCAATGTGTCCAAAGTGTTATTGATTTTGTTCAAAATCAAAATCACAACCTTGTCTTAAACCACTTGGTTCTGTTTATTTCTTTTTGTTGTTTAGTGTGTACCTTTAGAGGTCCACTATTTTATACCCTTTGGCAGTTGTTATCTTCATGATCTATCATTCCTATTGGGAAACATCTTGATATATTCTTGTTTCGTTTCATTTTAGTGTTATTACTGTCGTATGTGTATGTCTGCCACAAACTGGCAGTTGCGAAAATTCTCAAGCTGTCTTTCATTTAAACTTATTGAAAAATTTAGACACTAAGATTCTCCTTGTCAGTCTACAGTATTCCTTTTCCTGCAATGATGTCCTATCCTGCTGTCTCTGGGCTTCTGAGAAATATCTCGAATTTCCTAGGAAGGTCTCTTGATAACGGGCCATCTTGGATTAGCCATCTAATGGTATATTAGTGAACCCCCTTGTTGTTTATTATGGGCACCAAAAATGTGGCTGACAACACTGCAATTAGCATCTGGAGACTGAATTTTCTTCCACCATGAACTAGAACACCCCTACTGCACCTTTATCAACACTTGTTCCTTGAACACTCTCCAAGATGTAGTTAACATTTTGCAGCAACATCATAGGGAACATCACAGGGAAGAAAAGCATGACTCTCTAGTGAAAGGATTTGAATTGGTTAATTACCCCACAATTCATGTTTTTATCATTTTAACTAGAGTAAATTTTTAGCAAAGCTTTCAGAAGAGGGAATGCAATGATTCTATTACTGGTTTGGAGTTAATCTACGAGTATCTGGTGGCTTTCTCCCCCCCCTCCCCGCTTTGCTTTGTCCTTCTGATTGATGAAATCTTACTATGGGCAAAAAGAATATATATGTATATAACATTAAAAGAAGGCCGTAATGTATGTTCACGAAGCAGCTTTTTCATGCCTTTATAATGTATCTCTTTCTCCTAGGTTGTAGGTCTACTGAACAGAATGCAACTGCAATCTGATAAATCAAAATCAAATGATGGGTCTTGGGTTATCCATTTGTCTGTACCACCAACCCGAAGTGATATTCTTCACGCTTGTGATGTGATGGAGGTATGAGATAGCATCCTGATTATGTTCGTTCTTTGGCTAATCTATGTTTCATAGGTCTTGCAATTCATATTGGGATCTTGTATTCTGGTCTCCGGTTTGTTTGATGCTTACTTGAAAATGATGTATTATTAATATGATAGGATGTTGCAATTGCTTATGGGTACAACAAAATCCCAAAAACGAAGCCAACCTCATTGACCCTAGGGCAGCAGCAACCGTTGAATCAGGTCACTGATCTCTTAAGATTGGAGGTAATGAAGACTAGTGTGTATGTTCCTATGAAACTATTTTTAGGTTTGTTTATTTTCTTTTGTTTTATTTTATTTATGTGTTTCCATACTGGACAGTGCATTTGGTCTATTTTTATCTTTCTATTGATCTGTCAAAGTGTCTCTCTCTCTCCTCTTGCTCTCTCTCTCTCTCCTCTCTCTCTCTCTCTCTCTCCTCTTCTCTCTCTCTCTCTCTCTCTCCTCTTGCTCTCTCTCTCTCTCTCTCTCTCCCCCCCTCCCTTCCCTTCACACACACATATATCCATATAGTTGTTAGTTAGGTTCAGATGTCATATTCACTGTTCCTGTCAGATGTTTTTGTTGCAGTATTGTTCTTTTCAATGAATCCTATTAGTTACATAATGTGGATTGTGCATTCCTAGTCATACATACTAAATTCATATTATGTAGGAATTTAAGCCATCATTATGCAATTTGAAAAGGCTAAGTTGATCCTTGTGATACATACAACAAATAGGGCATTCTACTGATGCAAGATCTGCTTCAATTTTCTCTTTTAGGTTGCAATGGCTGGATTTTCAGAGGTGCTAACATGGATTTTATGTTCTCACAAAGAAAACTTCTTGATGTTGAACCGTAAGGATGATTCAAAAATGGCAGTTGTCATTGGAAATCCTCGTTCTTCAGATTTTGAGGTTTGCTTTCTTGTCAGAACATCTGCATTTTATTCTACATGCCCGACTTCGCAATTGAATTTGTGAATTTCGTTTTCCGTTCTTGTCTCATAAGGTGATGACACCAAAAAAATGGACAAGAGAGAAAAGGGTAACTTCTCTTTTTTTTTTTGGGAGATAAGTTCTCTATAATTGCATTACACATAATAGTAGAATTTACAAAAAGTGGTGACCCAATTGGTCACATGACACAAGTCCCAGAGGTTCCAAAAAACACAAAACCAGCTGCTAGAATGGGAACATAAGGCTTCGCAACGGCGCAGAAGCCCAAGCGGAAGAGGTAAGGCAGGCCCCTACGAGAAAAGAATCGTGTGAGATTAAATCTTGCATTACCCCTAGCTGAAATGACCTTCACCCATGCCATGAGCACTGTCACCTATTTGCTCTTAGCATAACTGCTTTTTCGGGCTTTCTATTTCAGGCCTTCTGCCATGCCACAAGTGCCAATTTCTTATGTAGACCACCTCCTTCTCCTCCTCCCTTCCCCTCCCACTGCTCCCCCACTTGTCTGTTGTCATTTAGCTTGAGCGTTTCTAAGGACCACAAGATTGGAGGCACTGCATTAGCAACCTTGGCACCAAAGAGAACATGGCATTCTTTTTCACCAATTCTGCATTGTCAGTTCCTGCCATATGGATGCTCCTCCCCTTTTAGGGCTTCCTATTTTCTATAGGATTATTAGTACTGCTTCTGCGTAATTTTGAGGACTCTACCTGATGATGAGCATATGATTCTCTTATGCTTTCCTATTGCAACTGCAAAATCATCACCATTTTCGATCTTCCAATTTCAGCATTAGTGGCATCTTTTTCTCGCAGATTGCATCATGAGTCACAGGCGGTTATTAGTATCAGTATTACTGTCTGGCATTCCCATTTAGGTTTCATAGGAAATCATATGACTCTTATTTGTTTGGGTTCTATTCACTTCATCTATGTATTCCATATTTTTATAAAAAAATTGTTGTGGGTGATCAGGCTGATGGCTGCTTGTGAGAGGAGTTATGAATATTCTAATTTTTTCTCTTCAGCTTTGTTAGTGTGCCAACCATGGATGATTTAATTTCTAAATATAATATAATACTCGTGTTTGTATTTTTTAAATCTCATATGGATGGGGACTTCCATTGGTGCCTTATAAGTTAGAGAATCTCATGAGCATGCACTTCTGTAATAACCTTTTACAGACGCCTTGTTGGTGGGTGCATCTTGCAATTAAGAAACATGATCCTTAAGAAATCTTGTGCTTGTGTAGCATTCCTACTCTTCAACCTGATACATAAAATACTGTGTTTACTTGAGGATTATCTCTCTGGTTACTCATGCGCTCCACACCACTATGTTCCTTTAGGGACATTTGGTTCCTTTTACTTCATTATAAACAAAAGGGCTGTACGGAGTTGCTGTTTCTTATGCATGTACCTTTTTACTAAAATAAAAACGCACTAAGGGTGTTTGGAAATTTTCACCCAAAACAAATTATGATGGGTTACTGCAGTTTCAATACTATAGAAATAGCTTACAAACACTTATTGGCTCAATTCCGTTCATAGTTAGTAGAACCAATGGCTGTTGGATTTGAGTCTTGTAGTTATTTGTTTCCAAATAAACATCTTTGTCTTGCAAGCTTTTTTGTAGAAAGCTTTATTTAATTGCGCCTTTTCTTTTTTCATTTAGTTCTCTGTGCGTTTACCAACTATGAAATAAATATACTTATCAGTTGTGGATCTTTATTAATCCATCATTGAGGGAATGGAAGTAACATTTTCATGGTTGTCTATTTACATCCTTGAAGCCCTTGAGAGGAAAAGCTTGTGTAATTAACATATTAATCCATGTTGTTATAAGGGAATTACTGTTCAAACTATTTATGCAGTGGCATGTCAAAGTTTTTCTTCAAACTTTTGGCAACCTGGAGCATTATTGTCATGTAAATTTGTGCTTATGAAGCACATTATTTGCCAAATTTCACTGTATATTGTTTCTTACACTTTGAATTTCACAGTTTAGAATATGTGAGATATGCTTGTCAATCTGTGGAAGTTTGTTTTGTATTTAATCATTTTAAGGGTTGAATGGACATAGTTCTGAGCTCAAAAAACTAGCCTAGCATGTTATTGTCAAGGTGGTTCCGTGCTTTCAATGAACGAAACAGATCAAGTTTCATTGAGGTCCTTTTCTTCATGGGTTGCACCTTATTAGTGGTACAAGGGTATTTTTATTCGACTTGTTTGTTAATGCCTATAATACATTTAAGGGCTAACTTACAGAATCAAAATTTCTATGCCAACTGCATATTAGGGGTCACTATGGCGTAGTCTTTTAATAATAAGCAATAGACACTTGTCCACTGTATGACTGTATCCCATGCTTTGAATCTCAACTTGTTTCTCGAAGAACAACACTATTATGGGCGAGATTTCCTTGAATTCCTTTCATGACATCTGCACGCTACCAACCAAAGGTAAAGAAATACTTTCTTATGCCTCTATTAGATATTTATGTTAAGGGCCTATTGAAGTTCTATAAATGCAGCACTGCTGAATTTCATTGTGCTTCTCTAGATCTTGTGAGCTATTTCTGAAGATGATACACTTGCTATTATCACTTCTTTCTCAGGTTGTTCGAACAAGTCTCATGCCTGGCATCTTGAAAACAGTGGGTCACAATAAAGATCATCCAAGGCCTATTAAGGTATTCTATACCAAGTTCTTAATTGTGGTACAATTCCATCATGCAATTGTGTTTCTCTTCTTAACTTAGTTCAGCTATTTAATTTCAATGGGTTGGTGACTTTGACTGTTCAGTTCTGTCTTTGATAGTTAATGTTTTTTCACCTTGGAATGTATGAGATTTACATGTATTAGACTCAGTTCATTGAAACTGTGGTAAGGACACCATTACAAAAGATCATTGCATGTGGAAAACACAATAAAACATGTGATGGGGTTTAATCTTCAGGCGTAGCTGTGATCTAACCACGTGTAGTTGTGATCTGCTCACACCCTCTTATGCTACAGAATCCACATATATATATATATATATATATATATATATATATATATGGAACCCATGCCAAGTGTGTCTAAAGAATTTTGAAAATTTGTGCATCCAAAACTGTCATCAAGCCGATGAAGTAGTTTTTCATGGGAATGCCATTTCCTTTTTAGTTCAGGAAATTGCAGAGTCCCCTTCAACAAATGGAGGACCCCCACTCTGCTGAAAATAACTTTCTGCCTGTTAGCAACTCCTGCACCTCAGCCTCACAAAAATAATATATTCCAGCTGGGCCTGAGAAGCTAAAGGCAGAGAGCCCCATGTGTGCTCTGAAAATGCCTCCCAAGTCTACTACCCCAGGGGTTTCCTTGTGAGGCACCATTAAATTTCTTATTGATGATAGGAGGCTGTTACCAACTCGAGGGTGTCTTTGCTGAGGGACACTGCTCCAGGTTATATTTCTCCACTGCACCTCCAAGTCCACTATCTGTAATCCCCAATATTCTTTCTTCCCTGAAACCCAGACCAAAATGAAGGGGTTGATTTTGTCCATAAGCTTTGAGTTGTATAAATATCCACCTTCAGAAATTCTTTGGTTTCTCTCCAGCCAAAGTGACCATAAGGTGCCCCGCTGTTAAAAGCCCTGTTTGGCAGTCATCGATTGTGAGAACCATTGGTGAAAGTGGGTGTGTCTACAGAGGCCAGGCAAGCCCAAGAGAGGTTGAAGGACCCCAGATGGCTGAGGCCAGTGTGCGGTGTAAGTGCATATGGGTGACAAGCTCCAACTGCTCCTTGCAGAGGATGCATCTATTAGGGATAGGTATCCCCCCTTTTGTTGGTCATCTACGGTAAGCTGTTTGTCAAGCACAGCCAAGTGCCCACTACACAAAAGAAAACATCCTATATGGGACCGGAATTCCCAAACTATTCTATGGTCAGGCTTTGTGGCGATAATGCAGTTTGGTTAGCACTTGGTAAGAAGACTTGAGAAGTCCCGCGTGCTATTGGGGATGCAAAGAATATTTATCATCTCTAGCTTCTGAGCAAACAAACTTGCTACAAGAAGCTGCGTAACAATGTTAACTGGTCTATTTCCGAGTCTCTTATGTTTCTTCTAAATAAGGTTTCAAAAAACGGCAGGCGGCCAGCCTAGTGCCTAGGCGGGCGTCCAGAACCTCAAGCACTCTGTAGTACAAATTCTTTAGATATATACATATATGTGCTGTCCAAACACACATAGATGTATATATTTGTGTTAATTATGTAATTTATCGCATTTGTATGTATTGTAACATCCTTTTTTCATTACAAACATATCACATGTTAAGAATAAACCTGTTCAAAATTTCAAAACTCAAATCACAAAAAATTTTAAAAAAATTTTAAAGTCTGGTCTATGTATTAGTAATAGTCTCCAATTCTCCATGTTCTGTAATAATATGGACTCCAACTCTCCAAGCTCCAATAGCACCCTAATAATTCCAATGAGAAAATAAAAATTTAGGATGCTTCTTCAAACCACAAAAATACTTTAATTCTCAGAAATAAATATAGCTAAGCGATTTAGGGCTTATGGAAGTGTTTTTTTTATTTTTAATTTTGGGGGATTGAAAATAACTCCCATAAAATCGATTTAGACTTTTTTGGGGGTCAAAATTACCCCTTTTGCCCTTTTGGGCATCTTTAAAAATTAAAAAAAGGCCCATGGCCATGGGCGACCGCTGAGAGCTAGGCGCTGGGCACCTGCCCAGGTACAGAGGTCTCTAGGGCGCCTAGGTGTGCAGCCTGGGGTCTCACCAGACAGGTCCTCCACATGGTCTGAGATGGCTGCATTTGAGTTAGTGGCAATCCGAGAACAGTTGGGGAAGCACCTTTCGAATACCTCCTCCCCAACCAAAGGTCAATCTAGAAATGAATTATGGTTCTATCACCTTGAACCCAATGCTGTTTGTGAATGTGCTAGATGTGCATGCATCCTTACAGACCCCTTGACTCTTAGATGAACTTGACTATTGGCAAATCACCCACAGCCACCTGAACCATATATGTCAGAGTTAAATGTTTCAAACTAGTTTTCTGCCATCACAAACCTCCATAGCGATTTTTCTAAGAGTGAGATTCATCTCATTCAGCTGTCTGAAACCTAGTCAATACTAGTAGGTTTATAAACATTATCCTATTCAACGAGGTAAAATTTATTACCTTTGATTCCACTCTGCATTATTTTTCATAGGAGCCTTTCGATTTTGTGTACGACAGGCACAAGCATCTTGAGCATCGACATATACTAGATAGAGTGATCGATCTTCAAGAGAGAGATGTAGTGTCTTCAATGAGGCTAGTCTTCGCTCAAAGCATTCAACTGGATCCCACTGTGCCTTTCATGGCCTGCACAAAGTGAAAGGCTTAAGTATTTTTTCGTTAAGACTTCTACACTACATCCCAGGGTGACTGCAAGATGTTGCAAATTACCACCACTTACCCAATATCTGATAAGGTAGTTCTCTCCGTGTTTACTCTTTAACTTTGAGGCATATTTGAAGCATATGAGGAATATTGCTAGTGACCTTGAGGCATGATGCATCTTAAATCTAGAAGAAGAAACCTGGAAGGTTCCACGAAAACCCAGAACAAAGATTACTTATCAATCAAGGAAATTTCTAGATAATTCTCTGGAGAAAGACCCAGAAATTTTCTGGGAAACTTCTCTCTAGAAAAATCTCTCTCATGAATAGAAACCTACCAACTCAATGGCCAGGACCTTGCCTGGCTGAGATTTATCAACCTTTGGGCTACCCAAATTAGCCCCAAAATACTCCGCAAAAGGGACCATTCCTGTGGATTAGAAGTTGAGCTTGGGTCTTACGTCGGAGTGAGAGATTCCTCTCTAAGTGGTGACTGATTGCCACTTGGGGTTGGGTGGTTTCCCCTTGTTCTTCCCTTCTTTTCTATCAAATACAATTGTATTTTGCTTCGTTTTGAAATAAAAGAGTAGTAGTTCAGTCCATTGTGTCCTCTCTTTAGTTTTGTGCTTTGGAATATATCAATTGATATTATAGCAAATGATTCTATGGTGGGGTGAGCAAGACGTGGTCAGGCAGCTATTAATGCAACTACTTTGGTGGAATTTACTGAGCTAAAAACTCTAGGGGAGGATGTGGTTCATGAAGTGCGTAGAAGTGGGAGGAGTTCCAACACCCCTGGTAGCCAAGAAGAACATGTTTTTGTTGATAGGAACCTATTTCCACGAACAATTGGTAGGTAGCAAAAGTTAGTACTAGAGAGGCTGAATAAGGCTATAGAAGGCAGTGACAAACTTTCGAGTTGATGTTGAAGATTTCTTAGGTAAACTCGATTTCGATTATGTCGTTGATTGGTGAATAGAGATATTCAAACATTTTTTGAATGGTGGGATCTACTAGCACCTAAGAAGGTAAAAGTCTGTCGCCACTAAACTTAAAAGGGCATGCTCTGATTTGGTGGAAAACTTTACAACATGACCGAGTTCATCTTGGAAAAGAAAATATGCATACACTAGTGAGAATGATGGAGAGACTAACTGTCTGTTTCCTTCCTTGTTACTCCAATCAATCCTATATATACAAGGTTCCATCATCTAAAGCAAAAGGTAGACTAAAGTGTGCAAGCCAAGTTTTAAGCTGAGCTAGGGTTCTGGAAAGTGATGAACAATTAGTCACTAGATGTGCTGGCTGAAACCTATGTTACAAGATGAGCTGACACTATTGCACCTATGGGATATGAATGAGTCTTGTCAAATGGCCTTAAGAGCTGAACAAAAACTCAAACTTTTCTTGTCGGTTGGAAAGAGGAAACCCTTCAAATGCTCCAAGGGTAAACTTAACACAGGTGCATAACAAAATTCTAGTTTCCCAGACCCTCAAGTATAATGGAACTAGGAGAATGCAAGTAGCTCAGGGCCTGTTTGATTGCTACAAGGTAAATGTTCCTCGAAAACTAGAAGTTCTTTTTTCTTGGGAACTGGTATGTTATCTTTTGGGATTGTATTGTAAGTTTGATAACCTGTCTGGGATGTTAAGTTCTGGGTACTTGTGTTTTATTGACCCTTAGAAGTTTCAACTGTTCATTCATTTTGTAGTGATATGAAGCCAATATGTTTTGTGTGAAGGAGATAATTAAGACACTAATAGTTGGGTACACATCTTTACCAATCCGCAGGAGAAATTCGTGCAAATGCTTCTAATTGTCCCAAAACATCATACCAAAGCGTTTAATTTTGGCACCAGAGTTTTGGTCATCCCGACGAAAAACTCAATTCATATGAACCTAAAAGAAAATGAGGAAAATGAGTTAGAAGCATCACATAATAAGCAAGGTAAGAATATGAAAACTCATAGTGATCAAGGACTCCAAAGCTCCATCTTTGTCATATATTCCATATCACACTCTCCAGTTTCAATGAATTCTTTGTTCTTGTAAACACCAAAAAAATAAAACAAAAGAAAAAAAAACCACCAGTTTAGTGAAAACCGAAATCTTACTTGTGGGTTATGGGCCCGCTGAGCTCTTGCCTGAAAACGACCCTTAACACCCCCGGCTTGCAGCCACCAAAGCCCGTTAGTCGATCCTACAAACGGCCTTTTTCTTTACTTATCTCTTTCCGGCCTAGTAGAATCTTATAAAGGCACACTCTAACAATGTTTTGGGAATATCAGTGAATAGGTTTAAGGACAGAGAGTAATATTAAGGCCTTTAAAAAACGGTTAAGCACACAAAGCAAAGTTGGAATCAACACACCACAACATATTTTTATTGGTATAAAACCATCTGATACAACATGACTCTACTCCCTATAAGCTTTGGGGGTTTTAACAAGCCATCAAGACTCAAACCGAAGTTTCTTACTCTATCTTACAATCCCCAGCCTCAGCTGCCCTGTTGCAACCGCTGGTTCTCCTTATATAGAGCTTTGTTTCTTACAACCCAAGCAACTTAGATTCATAGGTTCTATTGCTGATGCCTTAGATTTGTCAGTGCCGTCCTCCTTTAAGGTGCTTTTGATAACTTTTGAAGATGTTCTTGTCATGGCTTATTCTTACATCATGTTTTCAAGATTCACTAATCTAAAATCATTTAGGCTGTTGTAAAAGTCATAGCCAGATTCCTCTATTATGGGTAGTCGAGAATTTCTATCGAACTTTTCTCTCAAAATTCTTCAAATCTTTGGGCTTCCTTTGACTTGAGCAGCTTCAATAGTATTAAGATATGTCCAAAAGCTTTCAAGTCTTTTTTACCATTCTTGGGGCATTAGGAAAGACCATTCTTGGGGTATGATGACAATTACTCTTCCATGATGATGGATTTCCCATATATTTTTATGTGATAATATTATTTCATAGCCGTTTTTGAACCCTGTAGCTCTTCCTTCTGGGATATCTTTCTCTTGATAAGATAATCCCTTTGAGGCTGGAAGCGGAACTATTCTTTTTTCTTCTTGATTATAATGAAAGTTTGATGTGCCCCAATATAACTTGCCCTGATATATTTCTGGAATGGCATTATAACAAGTGATAAAGAGTGGACTTGATAATATTTTAAACAGGAAGCATCTACGCAATGCCTATGGGCGAAATGCTACAATGATTTCGCCCATAGGCCAATTGCCGTCCAAAAAAATTGGACGGCTTGCATTTTTGGATTGCCACGGACATGCTAGGTCTGTGGCGGTCCAAAAATTCACACGGAACCGTGTATGTTGCGGGTCCGTTCAATAAACCGCCAAGGAGATAGCAAGTCTGTGACGGACGCGAAACACTGTAGCATTTTGCCTATAAGTGTTTTTTAGGTTTTTTCTTTTAAACAAGATAGCATTCTTGGAATTCCATTTTTCTCTCTGTTGTCCACTTGGAAACCGAAACTAATCCTATTCTCATTAATAATTATTTTTCTTCATTTGTTTGGAGATGAATTCCTGGAAATTTGTTTTTCCAAATAATCATTTTTTCTTTGTAATACTTTTCTTTTTGAAAATACTTTAATTTTTCTTCAAGATGTTCTGTTTGTACTCTCTGACATATTTGTTTTGATATTTCTTCTGGCCATTGATTTTGATATGAACTTTCTTCTTTTTCAAATTTTGTTTGCGTTATCTATTAGCTCCTTTTCTTTGTTTTCTTTGGCTGTTCTTACTATTTGGGCTTGTGGTTATCTTTTTTATATTTTCTTCTATTGCTATCATCTTTTCTCCTCTTCTTCTTACCTCATATCCAAACAATGGTCTGTAAATATTTATTACTTCTTGGAAGATTTTTCCATAGAGGAAGGCTAATTCATCAGCTTTTATATGGTTTTTCTCATACCTGGAATGTTCTTCCTTTATAGTGTAAGCTTGTCTTCTTAGAGAATCATAGGTTTCCTCTTCACCTGCCCATCTCCAATTTCGTATTTCAGCCATCATTATAATTTCCTCCATTTCTCTTCTTTCGAGTCCTCTGATTCTATTTTGGAGTATACACTTTCATCTTCCGATATATCTCTTTCACTTATTGGTTCCAGGTTCTTTTCTTCCGCTTCATCAATCTTTCTAATAATCTTTTGTTTTTCTTTTTTATTTTTCTTTGGACAGTCAGTTGCTATATGTCCCATTTCGTTATTTAACCAGCATCTACATTGGGATTTTGGCTTTCCAGATGGGCGAGGCGATTTACCACATCTTTTTTTTTTTTGCAATATTTTTTCTTGGGTTATTCTTCTTCTTTTTATAGGTAGTATATTTTCTACAGCTTTTGGGAATTTCTTAATATTATTGAAGCTGCTCAAGTCAAAGGAAGCTCAAAGACCCAAAGAATTTTAAACGAAAAGTTCGATAGAAATTTTGCACTACCCATAATAGAAGAATCTGGAAATGACTTTTATGACAGCATTGATGATGTTGGTTTAGCAAATCTTGAAAATATGATGGAAGGATAAGCCACAACAGGAAGCATCTTCAAAAGTTATCTAAAGTATTTTTAAAAAAGAAGGGCGGCACTGACAAATTTAAAGGCATCAACAAAAGAAAATATAAGTTGTAAAGGTACATAAGTTGCTTGGGTTGTAAGCAACAAAACGCTATGTAAGGAGATTCAGTGGTTGTAAGAGGGCAGAGGCGGCACTGAGAAATTTAAAACTCGTTAAGTCTACAGGGAGTAAAGTCTTGTTGTCAGATGGTTTATCTATATCAATGAAAGTGTGTTAGTGGTGTGTTGATTCCAACTTTGCTTTGTGTGCTTAACCTTGAAAAAACGCCCTTACATTACTTTGTCTTGAAACCTATTCACTAATAATTCCAACAAGAGATATTAAAGCTACAAGAAAAATTACAATACATAGAAAACAAGAGAACTTATCCAGAATATTATGGAGAATATGAAGAAACAGTAGGAAAAAGAGAAGAACGGGAAACTTCTTATGAAGAAGTATATATTGACGTTATCCTTAGGTTTACTAAATAATCAGTTGAAGGGTCTATCTCCTTCAAACCTCACATATAAAGTAGTTGGTTTCAGCGATTTATCCCAATATTATGAAAATGACAGCAACTTTCAAGAGATCCTGAAGACTTGGCAGATTTCAAGGGGCTCATCTTGATTGCATCTTCCATGAAGGTGTTTATTTAAAGGAAGTCGCCTTTCTATATTTGAATAGTCCCTTGAAATCATTTGTGAACTGCATGGTGGTGGCTTAAGGGGACATTTTGGTCCAAACAAGGCCCAAGCTCTTGTAAAGAGAAGATACATTTGGCCTAAATAAAAATTGAATGATGGAAGGTTTGTCGAAAGATGCAGAATCTGTTAGTGCATGAAGGGATGTACACAAAATGTTGGTTTAGACACCCCACTACCCATCCCTATAGAACCTTGAGTGGACATCAGTTAAGACATTGTGGTGGGACTTCCGAGATAGAGGCAAGGGCTGGATGCTCATTTTTCTAAAATGGCCCACTTCTTACCGTGTAAAAATACATCAGATGCTACCCAGACTGCTATCCTCTTCTCTGCAGGGAAGTTGTGAGGCTTCATGGGGTGCCAAAACACATAACATCAGATCGAGACACAAGGTTTATGAGCCACTTTTGGAGTACATTATGGCGACTTGTGGGCACACAGTTGCACTTCAGCAGAGCCTATCACATACAATTTGATGGGTAGACAGAGATTGTCAATCGAACTTTAGGGTATCTTCTTAGAGGCGTGCAGCAGATTGACTAGGGTCATGGAATTTTGTGCTTACACAACCCGAGTTTGCCTATAAAAGTTGAAAGAACTGATCCACAGGGAAAGCGCACTTCAAATTGTATATGGGTGAAGACCATTCAAAACCCGGCTACACACGTAGTAGGAGCTCTAGTACAAAAAACTGGTGAGGGACATTTGTGAAGGTAGTAAGCCTATAAGAAATAGACCAACAACTTGGACACAGTAGTAGTGAAAGGAAAAGAGTGGGGGAAGAGAGAAATGGAGGGAGAGGAGAAGGGGAGGGAGAAGGAGCAATAGAGAGAGAGAGAAAGAAAGACTCCATAAAAGGCCGAAAAGGTGGCAAGTAGCATCATGGGGAAGGGGTGTGAGTCGTGGGCCCTTTGGCTGCACCATCCCTGGTCACCCTATCAGGGAGGTTATTGGTTGCTCTCGATGCATGGCAGACGACGACTTGGTTGTTCCTGCAAAGCATGTGAATATGTTCAAAAACATGAGCATGTATTTGAAAAAGCATATTTTTGAGGTCGGTGAAGTAGATTAAGGTATTTGAAAAAGCAAAAGACTCCATTGAATGGTATTCAAACACCAAAATTTTAACCAATGATATAGGGTGATTGAATGCTCTGATATGGGGTCGGCTCAGTAGGGACCAAATGAGTGCTTAATATGTGGGCTGCACTTAAAAATGCAATGTATTACGTGCTAATAATTGCATAGTTTTGGTTAATGCAATCGTGTAGTAAAAGATGCATATAATTAGTATCTGAAGAATTCAAGTTGGTATATGCCCTTGGTAAGCTTGTTTCCTTGTTGTTTGCAGGGCTCCTTGGTTTACTAGATTTCTAGAGATATTTAAGTAGCTTGACTTGAATATATCTCGTGCTTGCATATGTGTTTTGTATTGATATATTTGTCATTCTCATGACAAAATATTTGGTTCTCTTTTCCCTTGTGACAGATTTTTACCATCTAAGTTTATGTATTCTCATCCTTTTTGGCATGCTATTATTGATCACAGATATTTGAAGTAGGTGATGTTGTGTTCTTAGATGGTGAAAAAGATGTTGGTGCAGCTAATCGTCGCCAACTTGCTGCATTATACTGCAATGCTAATTCTGGGTTTGAGGTAGGGTTTCTTAAGTGGAATGGATTTGCATTTCTTTTATGTTCTCCAAAGAATATAAGTACACACACAAAATCAGAACTGTTACATATTTCATTTGTAAGTTTTGTGTAAACATTTAGTAATGAATAAGAAAAATTTCATGTGTAAGTTTCTCATTATCCAAGGTTCCTTTTCCCTTCCTATCTGTCAGCATGTGATTTTTTTTAATTAACTGTAAGTTTAATGAATTATCTGAACTGACATTGATAGGCTGCTTTGGCTTTAGAATTCGATTTATTTATTATTGTAAATCCTGGATGCAGGAATATTAAATACTTTGGTATTGTTGGAGATGATATTGGGATTTCTGTTGGATGTGGGAGTAGAGATTTGATATGAAGAGTATTTCGTAACTTATTAGAATTCCATTTCCTGATATTTGTATGCATCACAGTTTTGTACAATTGTGGAATTGTGAGTATTAATTTTTTATAATATGTAAAACTTAATGAGCAGCCAGGATTTTTTGGAATGCTATGTTGTTTAGATATTAGAAAGTTTTCATGGACTCCATATGTTATAGTCAAAATGTAAAGCTTTCAGGAGCCTTTTGTTGATGGATGTGGTAAAAAAAAAGTAACCTGGTATTGTCCTGTGGGCTCTCATTTTTGAAAGACTTTTTTCACACAGTTACTGCTGTATAGGTTCCACTATTTAAGGAGCCTTTTGGTGATTGATGTGGTTATAGTTGAATGTAATTTGGTATTGTCCTGCAGTCTCTCATTTTTGACAGATTTTTTTCATGCAGTTACTGCTGTATAGGTTCCATTATTTATAGAAAACTCTTTTGTTTATGGATGCGGTTATAGTTGAATGTTACCTGGTATTGGGCTCTTATTTTTGACAGATTTTTTTCAGACAGTTACTTCTGTATTGGTTCCACTATTTTATATAAATGTGTAGAGAAATCTAGGGAGTGAATGGGAAACTCTTTCATTTGACTGTAGAGAAGATATGAAAACTTAGATGTTCCTAGAGAAGAAATGCGGCATGGAAGAAGTTCACATTGGTATGCAAAAATTGTTGTAATGATGTAGAGTTAGTTAAAACTTCCCTTTTGGGTTGGTTTACATGGTCAAATAATCTCTCTGCAGTTGACCCTATTGGATGTAAGATTCAAATATTGATGCTGAATAATGAATTCTTTACCTTAGTAAGCACAGGAAGTTGGTTTCTAAGCTAAAGATTTCATTTGTGGTCTCACTATTCCATTGCATTCTGCCATGCAGCTTAGCAGGAAAAAAGTCTTTTTCCATGCATTTAAAGATTTGTTTTTTTTTTTGTTAGGATCAGATTTATTTTCTATTCCTCTTTCCTTCACCTGCTTATAGTGCTGTGCCATAACAAAGCAAAAATATTATTTTAGAAGGCTTTGTTATGCTTGTGTGTTATAACTGGAAATTTTCTCCATAGAAACTGCTTCTGATATATGAGTTGGTTACTGATTTCTTCATTTCCAAAGTTGCACTATTTCCTTTATGGTTATGATATGCTTTCCTTTGGTTCATATATCATCGTGTTCTTAACCAGCATCACCTTCATTTGAGATGTATGTAGCCTGAAGTTTGTATTTCTACAATTTCAGGTTATCCATGGTTTGGTGGATAGGATAATGGAAGTACTAGGGATACCTTTTGTTCCAGTTGGAGATGATACGGGATATTACATCAAACCTTCTCATGTATTTATCGTTATAGTTGATCAAATTATCAAATTTTTCTGAAATTTGTGATAATTCTGGTCAATTTTTAGCTAATTTTAATATATTGTACTTATCTCTTTTGAAGGAGCCAGAGTTTTTTCCAGGGAGACAAGCTGTAATCCTTTATAGAGGAAAGCAAATTGGCCGCTTTGGTATTGTACATCCAGAGGTGCGACAACTAGTCTTTGTGATGAATCATCACAGCTGAATATGTTTTCAGCACAAAATTAAAATATTCAAAATTTAGTTTCATAGTGAGGTCTATTACCTCAGTGTGAACCATGTTTTCTCTACTCTTGCTTAAACTAGGTCTAGCTTGCAGATCTTGTTTTTGCCAGGTCTAATTTGTAAACTTGCATTTTATTGGTGTGTTTGTTTCTTTTACTCTCTAGCTGTTTATTGGGTGTGAAAAAAAGGTGGTTATTGTTTGTGCTTTCTATTTCTAGGTTTTGGCCAACTTTGACATCCCAGACCCATGTTCTCTGGTCGAGCTTAACATCGAGGCATTACTGTGAACATTCCATACATTGGTAGCCCTTAAATGTAAGCATTTCATGTCCTTTTGCTGCTGCTTTTACTTCTCGTCTCTCCTTTGCTTTTTGGATTCATCGAAGTCATTTCATATTGACACATTTAGAGTGGCTTTTTGTAGTTTTCCCTTGTGGCCGCAGGTTTTGTGGCTTGCGTGAGATGGGGATACTATAGTTGCAATTCATGAGAAAGTAAATTTCACAAGACAGACCAAGGCTGAATATCAAGCCCATGGTTTTTTAGCAGGAAATGATGGTTAAGATGCACCATGTGCAATGTAATTCTTAATATTTACTTGAAAATTTGGATTTAATAGATTATTGAGTTGCTCTCTTATAGTTCTCGGATACTGGCCTGAACCATGGAGTGGTTCAGTTTTGTTGATGTTGGCGATTTTGTCATTTTTCCAAGAACTTAATGTAAGTTGATTTAAATATCATGAAAAATGTTTTTTTTTTGGTGAAGTGATAGTTCCTGATGATGAGTGTTGTGTTTTTTTATTATTTACTTTTTGTTTAAGGAGTTCCTAATGATGAATATTGGTCCATGAAGTTGCATATCCTTTGTCCATCATTAGTGTATGATGTAGGGTTTCCTGAAAAAAGAATAAAGAAACGAGCATTTTATGGGCCACTGCAAATTAGAAGCATGTTTTGTAACAAAAAGGAAACTCCTACAGAGCTTGCATTGGAACAACTAAACTAGGAAAAAAAGCCCTCACTTGCCTACCTGAAGTTGAGGAATTCTTTTCGATTTCACAAATTTGTAATATTATTTAAGGAAATTCATTATGAATAATGTTCACGGTTGCCCATCTACAACTTTTCTAGCTAGAGATCAATGTGTTTCTTCATGGGTATTTTGAAATTAAATTAAGTGATACAGGCAAACGACTAAATTGTTGGGAAAATTATAGATGCCCTCTGATTTTGTACTGTGTGGGCATCCTCTGCCAACAATTTTGATACCACGTTACTAATCCGAATGTTTTTTTTTTTTTGGAAAATTACAAAAACCTTTTTAAGCATATATTATTCACTCCATTTACCCTCACCCAAAATTTTCTTCACACTTTTTCTTTCCACAAGCTTTCCTGGCAAAAACCCCCTCAAAGCAAACGGTTGTAATTTTTGGGACAGGAATGTCATTATCGTATATGTAAAAATTCAATTGGCAGTCCCAAATTGCCTATTGCTAGAACGAAGAACAACGTTGGACCGTTATGAAATGACCGTCGGATTGCAATAGCCACTGTTGGAGCGCATTGCCACACCATTGGAGCGATGTGCTCCAAAGTGTATTGCCAGAGTGCATGTAGATATCGTCGAAGTGCAAAATGTATCGCCGGAGCGACGTACTAAACCATCAGATCGAAGTGGCTTACTGTCAGAGGGGCTAATCTGACTGTTGGAGCAGTCTGGCTCCAAGAGCTTGTGTGCCGAAGGGGTTGAATTGATTGTCGGAGCGCTTTGGCTCCAAAAGTTTGTGTGCCGGAGCATGTTTTTATAGTGTCGGAGTGCGTGGGAAAAGCTTCGGGTGTGTAGAGAAGGGGTATGAAGACAAAATGATGTTTTGGACCTTTTTGTACTTTTTTTAGGTTTGCGGGGTTTTTGTGAAGATAATTTGCAGAAGGGAAAAAATGAGAGAGAAAAGTGATAAGTTGAGTGAATAATATATTCTCGGGAGGTTTTTGTAATTCCCTTAGAAAAAGAAGTTTATTTTTTTTAACTAGAATACCCCCAGTTTTAACCTATATATTCAAAACATGATGCCCAATTTGTGTTGGTTTGGCACAAAATGTGTAGGACCAGTTACAGAGTTGGTCTGATATAAAATGTGTTGGCTCTGTACAAGTTGTGCCGATTCATCACATTTTGTGTTGGACTGGTTTAGATAAAGTGGCAAATGTAGCTAAAACGAGGGAATTTTGTTAAAAAAAAGTCGACTTTCGTACTTGAGGGTGGTTGCCAAAAAAAAAAAGGGATCTATAATGGTATCAAAAGTGTATGGTTCCAAAAAGTCTTGGGCATGAGAATATGAAATTGTCCACCAAGAAACACTCAACTCACACATAATTATTACATTTTCAAATTTTAATGTTTTTTTAGACCCATACTCGGATTTGGGTTGGGTCCAGGTCCATTGCCACCCAACCTTGCCCTATGTCAGTTAGACTGAAACTAAGATGAGAGAGTATAGGATTCTCTCTCCTTATCCATTGTTGCTTGAAAATGACATTCAGAGAGAATTGTTTCTTCATTGCTCTGTAGACCAAAATTGAGATAAAAAAAAAAAGTTTGTTTTGGGTAATTCAGCAGGGAAGATAGGTCCTACCCGTTGTGGTGATTAGAGTGTGAGGTGCTATCACCACGACCTTAACCTGTTACCAAAAAAAAAATAATAAGTGAAATTATATGGCATATGAGAATTTATGCCCCTATAAATCTTTTCACCCTTCTGAACATCGAATTTAATTTGGGAAAGGTTTTTACGTCTTCGAAATGGTTGATATCCAAAAGTAACCGGCATGAGGAAATCCCTTAGATATGGTTAAGGCTTGAAATCAATTGAAAATTAGTATTTGGTATTAGACTCCTAGCATATACAGGAAATGAATGCAAGGATTATGTGCCCAAGCTGGGTCATTTTTGGAGAAATATGGATTTCCTCTTGAGCGAGAAGCAGGTGCCTTCAGTGCAGAGAGGCAAGGCCTCTGGAAAGAGAGAAAGTGAGAAGTGCGCTTCCTAGAGAGAGACCGAATGATGGTGCCTCCGGCAAAGATAGAGAATAATTTTTATGGAGAAGCGGTACCTATGAAAATTTTGGACAGTAACTTTTTTAATGGGAAAAATTATCAGTTGTTATTAATCTTTTTTTGGACAGTGATTTGGCTGTTGAATAGAGATGTTTGATTGACGGTTGATGTCGGGTAGGAGAGTTGGTCTGAAAGAATTATTCAATTGGGTTTTGTTGAGAGTTAGAAAGATAGTTTTGTATTCCAAAATGGATGGCATAATTGTCGATAAATTTTAGTTTGCCATGCTTGTGGACGATGGCTCTTTAAGGTGAACCACATTAATTTCTGCGTTCTTGTTGTATGCTTTATTTCTCATGGTCATACTAGATTTACACTAATTTCTTTTTAGCCCATTAAGTTTAAAATCTTGGTGGGGATAATAATATTTAAAATTATTTTTTCTACATCTATACAGAGCGATTGGTTTAGTACATGGCTTAGGTTTGAGCATTTAATCAGAAAAAAAAAAAAAGAAAGGAAGGTGCATAGTGAAATATGCGTTGGTTTTGTTTGATAATGGCCAGCGCAAACTTTTTTAGTAGGAACAAGTATAAGGAAATGTGGGAAATAGCGTCAGAAAAATAAATATTATCCTTCTTGTTTTTGTGCAAGCAGCAGCGTTCTCTCAAGACTATATTTGCCACCTTTTAATCAGAGCCTATAATCAGAGCTTATAAATTGGGCAAAGTCATCCTCACGATACAGGACAAACAAAAGGTTTCTAAATTTGTTAGAAAGAGAATGGAAGTTTGAGTTAGAGAGAGTGATAGATACTCGGGTAGAGAGATAGAGAGAGAATGGGAGAGTGAGAAAGAGAATAAGGATCCAATTGGATTAGCCTCATCAACGGTTGTAACAGTTACAACAGTCGGCTCGGCTAACAGTCACTTGATTACGACGACTATTATCACAGCCGTTGGATGTGCAAAGTGTGCCATCAAATGCCCTTGCATGTGCATGATACACTTCGCCCGTGCCAAACACTTTCATGCTTTGCATTAACACCCACACTCTCACCTTTGTTCTAGGAGAAAAAGGCATGGGAGCGCTCCTACATAAATACGACTTAATCCTCTTTCAAATGTTTAATGTGAGACTAAAACACACTACTTTCTCAAACAACATTATTAAAAATTAGGAGGCAAAACAGATGCTATCATTATGACATTCAATAGCGTAGGCATGATGAATAAGCCGTTTTTGATGCCAAGGTGGAGATTTCTGGCTTAACATCACTTGCATAAACGAATCTTTTATTAAAAGGGATTGACAAATCCCTTATTAAAAGGGATTGAAATTATTAATGTTTAAAATCCATTTAAGTTTTTTATTTGGTGTGGGTTTCCTAATATATTTAAGAATGAGAAAAACGAGTATGTGCACCCTAGTTGAGTGATCTTGTGGAAAAATGAACCTTCTTTGGAGAGAGAGGCAAGGGCCTCTTGCATGGAGAGGCAATGCCTCCAGAAAGATAGAAGTGGGAGAGAAACGGTAATGGCGGTACCCCCCACAGATAGAGAGGATGATTTGTTATAGCAAAGTGGTTCCCACACAGATTTTGGGTGATATTCCTTTTATCAAGAGAAAGACATGGTTATTCTCGAGGTTCTCACCCCAGAAAATGATTCGGCTATAAGAATAGAGATGTGTGATCAGCGGGTGATATCAGTAAGGTAATTAGTCTTAAAGGATTGTTCCACTAGATTTGTCCAATGTTAAAAAGATAACTTTGTATCCTATTACATGATCTTATTTTGTATCACCTCTCGTCCATATTTTAAGTCATATTATATCAAAATTTTATTTTTTGAGTCATTTTCCTTTTATTTTACATCAATTTGAAAGGGAACGACGCAAACTACAAAAAAAACTAGTGTAATTAGACTGTTAGAAAGTCCAACTTCCATAATTCGTGAAACATGTGTTTGGGCAATTCAGAAATCTAACTTTCCAACAACTTAAGCCACAAAAGAGGGATGTATTGGGTGCAATTCAAAAGTTGGACTTCCACATGCATTATTACATTTTTTTTTTTTTTTGGAAATTATCATATACCCTCAGAAACTTGGATACTTATAAAGAATTCTCCTAATATTTTCGTTCAATAAAAATTTACATACTTTTATATCCTTTTTCTCATTTTTTTTCTCCTCCTATTCTTTTTCATTTAAGAAGAAATTACTTGAAATTTCATTTACCCTATATCCTTTTTCTCACCTTCTTCCAAAATATAACATTGTTAATATGATTCGATGGATGTTGTAAGACTCGTGGATCCCTCAATTTTCCCCTCTCATGTTTTTCCTTATATATTTTCCTCGACATAAATCACACTTGGTAATAGAAGAGTAACAAAACCCATCTTTCAATACTGGAAGGAGTGTATATGTGTATAAGGTTAATTATAGAAAGTGTAAATTCAGTGTATATGAGAAAGATAGGTGCACTATCGTGTAATTTTATTGTAACTGTGCGTATCATAGAGGTGTGTTTGATTTATCTGTAATTTTATGGTAACTGTAGTAGAGTATTATC